AGAGGACATGGCGCGTGCAAAGGCCCTGGGGCAGAATGTGCTCCTGTTTTCAAGGGACAGCAGAGAGTCCAGGCTGTCTGGGCCATTAGTCAGGACACCGAGTGGAGGATAAGTCTGCAGAGGTGGGCAGGGGCCGGGGCACATGGGGCCTTGTAGGCCCCAGTCAGACTGGGCATTTTGTCCTACGGTGGAGGGAGGTCACTGGAGTGCTCTCAGCTAGGGGCTGACTTTAAAAGGCCCCTCTGGCTGCGGCAGGGGCGAGACGTGGCAGGGAGGCCTGTGCAGGTGAGGGATGCAGTGCTCGCTTGGAGAGGTGCAGTGCCGGGGGGCAGGAGCTGTTGGCCTGGGCAGTGATTTTGGAGGGAGAGCCGGAAGCACTGCTTCCTTGCCCAGATGTGGGGCGTAGAGGAAAACAGGGAGTCTGAGGAGTCTAAAGTCTGAGTAACTGCGTGAGCGACTGTGCTGTGTGCTTGGCAGGAAGAACAGGCGGGGAAGGTGGTAATCAGGGCTCAGGTTTTGATGTGTTCAAGGGAAGGGCCCTTCAGACAGCCAAGGGGAGAGGGGGAGGGGGGAGCTGGCGGTGCAGATCTGCTCAAGACAAGCTGTTTGTGGACAGTGGCCCTTTGGGTGGGATTTAAAGCCGGGGGGACGGGAAGAGCCCAACCAGGGAAGGACTGATGCCTGGAGCAGCTCCAGGAGGGAAGCACTTGGCACCCTCACCCTCCCTTCCAGGTGGAAACACGAGCATCAGCGGGGTCGAGTGCCTCGCTGGAGTCCCCAGCTGGGAAGTCGTAGGTTGGGGCTCAAATCCAGCTGTTTCCCGCCGGAGACCACACCATGAATCCCTACCCTCAACTCGCCAGACCTTCCTCTCAGAGCAGTGCGAGGTTTTTGAAGATCAGAAGGGGTTTTGAGCAAAGCTGTGGCCCAGCCTAGTTCCGCCTCCTCCAGGCAGTGTCATTAGGGGAAGGTGCATGGCCTAGAAGTCAGAGATTCCGAGTCTTGTCCTGCTCGGACTGCCTGTGTGGCTCTGAGGAGTCACACTGCCACTCTGCCCCTCAGTTGTCTCCTGTGTAAAATGGGACTGGGAGCCCCTCCCACGTAGCTGCCATCCTGGGCTTCGGAGAAGACCCCGCTGCAAGATGTCTGGAGGGCGCTCTGCTGAGGACCCTGCCGGGGAAGGCTGGAGGAGCTGTCCCTGGATAGGAGGGTCCTAATCCTGTTGTTTTCTCTTTTCTCCATCTCCAAACCAGAGTCATGATGTTTGAAGGAAAAGCCAAAGAGAGCAGCCCCCAGCCGGGTGGCCCCCCTCCAGAGAGAGACATTGCCAGCCTGCCCTGAGGACCCCGCCGGGACCTGCCCCTGCCTTCCCTGCCCGTTCCTCCCTCCTTATCTCGCTGCTCTCTGGACTCATGTTTTGTCTTACTTGGGGTTTTTTTGGTCGTTGGGCATGTTTGTTTTTTTCATCTGCAGAATCAGTGATCTCTTTGTAAAGCGCAAATTATCTGCCTTAAAGGGGATCTGGGGCCCCTCCCTCGCTCCTTCCACCCTCCTCCCCACCCCCCACGCATGCAGAAGGGCTGACATCAAACCAAAAACGGGAGAGGGCGAGGCCAAGGCAGGGGGCTGGAAGCCTGTGATCCCCGCGCCTGGAGCCATCCTTCCCAGAGGCCTCTGCTCTTCGCCCCGGCTTGCTGGCCGGGCCCCGGTGAGGACCTCAGTCCAGCTTCAGGAGACCCTGGAGTAGGAACAAGGCTGCAGGGCCTCGCTAGGGATTCCTCAGACACAGGTCCGGTGCTCTCAGGGGTCCACGATGTGGCCACTCCCTGTCCTACCACCCAGGTGCCCCCCCCTCAGGCCAGGCTTCTCATCCTCAGTGAGCTGGCAGAAGGAGGAAGCAAGCAATTCGAGCCCTTCAAGAAGGTTCCGGAAGAAATCCTCCAGCCTTGCCCCCGGCCACCCTTTACAGGCAGCTCAGAGGGAGTCCTGTCCCTTGCTGGGCAGCAAAGGGCTTTGGAGAGAGAGGGGAGGCCAGGGGCCTTGGGGAGGGGGGTCGTCTCAGTCTCGTCCTACCTTGTAGGGAGGATGCTGAGGGCAACAGGCCAGGAGAAGGCAGAATAAAATGCTTGTGGCAAACAGAGCACAACTTGGCTAAGACAAGCAAGATCTGAGAAACGGGACGTTGCCTTTCCGATCCCAGTGCTTGGAAATGACTGTGCCTCCCCATTCGCCTCCCACCTCACGTCACTGTACTAGGTCATGCAACCGGTATTTATTGACCACCTACTATAAGCTCTAAGTCTCCCCGCTTCGTGCTGACATGTGCTGTGTCCACTGTCTCTGTAACTCACCTCACCCTTTCCAGATCGCCCCAAACCTTGAGCTTGGGCACTGGACTGGGGTCTCCTGTGTCCTCTATTACGGACTCACATGGTTTTGCAGCCCCGATCCACCCTGTAGGTTAGCTAAGCCCGTCCTCCCATGTCACAGGTGAGGAAACTGGTGGCCACAGGGGTTAAGTGCCTTGCCGGAGGTCAGGGGTTCATCAGGAGACGGAAGAGCCTAGACTGGAGCCCAGGTGTTCACATGCCCCGCCCATGCTTCCTCGCAGCTCTGGGCTGCCTCGCTGCTCCTAGGTCAGCACCGGGAAGACCCTTCCCAGTGCCTCTGAGTCAGCACCAGGGTTGGGGTAAGGGCCAACCCTGTAATTCTGCACTCGCTAGAGCCTTTCAGCTAAGCTGCTTCTCAGAACGCATGCATGCGGGTGTCACACTCGGCCGCATGTTGGCTAAGCAGGAAACTCAGCCCTGGCCCCACCTGTGCTCTGGAGTCCCTTACTCTGCCCGCTCAGGACTTAGATACACTCACCCACTGAATGTATTTATTAAGCATCTGCTATAGGCCAAGAGCTAAGAACCCAGCAGTGAAACAGACTCATATTTAGAGTCTAGTGGAGAAGTCAGACCCAGACAGGGAAAAGTGAGATGAATGTTAGGAAAAGGGGGCTCTGGGGTGACTGCACTGCAATCCTGGGGGAGCCAAGCTGGGCCCAAGACTAGGCAAGAGTCTTGGAGAAGCCTCTGCCCAACCTGAAGCGGCAAGGTGCTGTTGGAGCTGGAGCCAGCGTGGGTTCTTGGGGCTCCTCGGTGACCCATCATCTAGGGCCCAAGGAGCTGCCCTTCCAGCAGCATGAGGGCGTGGAGCCGGCAGGGAATGGGAAATAGCTAGGCCAGGTTCATTGGTTGGTCTCAACCAGTTCAGCAGCAGATTATTCGGCCATGGCTGGCTGAGCTTCAGGCTAAGGACCCGCTCAAATGCACAGGCCTAGTTGAAGTTTAAACCCAGCAAAAACAGTTCTCCCTGTAAATGTAAAATCTCGCCCCACCCCCTTCCCTGTCTTGGCTCCCCACCCCACCCCACCTCAAGATCATTACATAAGCAGCTGCCTATCCTCACCCCTCCCTTCTACCTCTCCTCTCTGGGACAGGATGCCTTTGAGCAAGGTAGAGCTTTCCTGGACTACCCACCATAGTGAGCGTACCTGATCCTCACTCAGAGAGCAGGGCAGAGCCAACCAGGCTTCTTTCAATAGGTCCCCCAGTTTACAAGACCACAGGCAAGACTCCTCAAGGGAGGAGAGCGAGGGATGTGTCCACAGCTCTGGGAAGGGCAGGCAGGAGCTCTCTCCTGGAGGAAGAAGGGCTCAAGAATGGCCCCTGGAGGAGGGGGTTAGGGGGTCTGCATGTATTTCAGGTTGTGGCTATTGGCTCCTGCACTCCGCTCTGACCAAGGGCTCAGCTTCTTAGATCTCCAGCTGTCTTCTCTCTGAAAGACCAAATCTAACCAATGGAACCAGAAACGGGGGGACTGCCAAGTGTGGCTTTGTCCCCGCGACTCGAAAGGAAGGTGTGCCAGGCAAGTTCAGGTGGATGCAGTGTGTGTGCGGCGTGCGTGGGAGCGTGTGTGGTGTTGGAGATCATCTCTACAAACTGGAAATAAAACAGACAAACTTACCCATGTCTCGATTGGTGTGTCCTGGGGGTGGGTTCCAGGCTCAACGGATTCTGAAGAGCTAGCGAATCGAGTAACTGGATGAGTGTGTCTTGTGTACCAGGCTCTGCTAAACACAGAACTTCCTCGCCTAACAACCTATGGAGACAGATTCTCTTTGTCATCATCCTTGTCTTACAAATGAGAACTGCTTGGAGCAGATCCGCAATTTGTCTCCTCCCCTCCAATACACACACACACACACACACACACACACACCAAAAACCTCTGTCCTGGAGCGTTTTTTACATAAATCCACTACAGAAATGTCCACGGAATAGTCGTCGATTAGCATATCCGGGGGAACTGGACTCTAGTCCCGCCCCCACCGCGCTCTGACCCTGGGGCACTGGGTAATTCCACCTTCACTGTGCTTCCAGTTACCGCATCAATTAAATGCAACGGCGGACGGGTGACTACGGTGTCTTGAAGATTAAATAACACACCTAAGGTGTTTTGCGGCTTCCAGGCTTTTGCTTCGTCAGCCATTACCTCGAAAGGAGCAAACAAAGCTGATGTTTAGTGCTCTTTAACCTCCTAAGTCTCCCGAGGCGAGGCTCTGCCCCATCCACTTTCTGAACGTCTCTTCTTTCACATACATCCCCCTCCGAAGCCCCTCTCGAGAGCGGCCCCGTGGATATTGGTCAAGTTCCTAACTTCCTGGACTCGGGAACCATGAATAACCGCCTTCAGCCAAGTGTTACTGAGGGGGTTTCCACTGAATCCTGAGCGTGGAAAGTTCAGACGTGCGCCGTCCAAACATAGAAACCAACACGCCCCACTCTGGCTGCGAAAGCGGGGACGGCACTTGGACGCTCCCGGGCGCAGGCGCGAGGGCCCCAGGGCTCCGCCCCCTACTGCTCGAGCCAGCCAATGGGAGGGGGCGGCCGGGAGAGCGCGAGAGCTCAGACAGTCCCTCAGCCTCTCTGGACGGGAACGCGTGACGCCATCCAAGCGCGCCGGAAGTGCGGAGGCCGCCCCGCGCCGCTAGCCTGGAGCGTAGGAAGTTGGCCTCGGAGCGGCCTGGGCTGTGAGGGGAAGGCCGCGCGGGGCAGCGGCCGTTGCTTCGACCACCTGAGGGCGGCGCGATGGGCGACGAGATGGATACTATGATCCCTGAGCGGGAGATGAAGGTCAGAGACTGGCCACGGCCTCCCTCCCTTCCTTAGTCCCGGCGTTGCCTGGGAGCCCGGCTGAACGGCAAAGCGCGGGTGCCGGCTGCTGCCCCGCCTCCTGCTTGAATATTTGCCGCGTCCAGAGTGTTCACCTGCCTGTCCTGGGCGCTAGGATGGAACCTTACCCCTCAACACCTGCCGGGGCTGGTCTTCCCGGGCTGGCCTCGTGTTACTCCGGCCACTTACATGTGGCGGTCGGAGCCGTGATAATAAGCTGTTTATCGAGCGTTCACTGTGCGCTACGCACTGAGTTGATCGTACAGCCACCGTGCGGAGTAGTTGTTAACATGGAGGAGCAAGTCCAAGTCTGGGAAGTGACTTTCCCACAGTCGCATTTAACAAGGAGGCAGAAATCTAGGCGGTGGTTGTACATTTTCTTAGCACCCTCTCCTGTCCACTCTCTCGGGACGACTTCCGGAAGGTGGTCCGGGCTCGCCCAGCGCAGAGCCAGGGCTCGGCCCCGGTCCGACGGAGCACTTCAGTGAATGGGAATAGAAGGGCTGTTTTGGTACCGGAGACGTGCCCAGGTCAGAAAACTACAGAGCGGGCCAGGTGACCGTAGTGATGGCTATCAACACCGGAGAGGGAGGAAGTCGCAGGAAGGTGGTAGGCGTTTGAAACCCTCAGTGTACAAAAGTGAAAGGCTGAGAAAGGCTGTCTTTGGCTCTTAACACGTTTGAAAATGTAAGCAAAGGGGAAAATTTGCATTCTTTTCTTCACCGAAACCTCAACTTAAAGATACGTTTAGAATGGAAGGAAAAGAAAACCTTTCACGAGTATAATACAGCTTAACATAGCGACTGGTAAATTTATGGAGCTCTTTTTGCCAAGAAAGCAATAAAAATATATTAAAAAAAAAAAGAAGTGGTGCACACCGGAAATTGCCTTTGAGTGCGTATAGGTACATTCACCGGAGACTAGGCCAGTCGGGCATTGGCAGGAGACTGGGGGAGGCTCCCAGGCCCTGCGGTTCTAAGGGGCATGAAAATGGGAGGAAGTGAAAACTTGACCTGGGTGGCGCTGGAGGTGGCAGCGGTGATGGCGTCCAGGGAGGCAGTGTTGTGGGGTAAGGCTCCATAGTGGATGGGTCAGGCCACGCCTGGCCTCAGAGCCTGTGTTAAAGGTGTGGGCTTGTAGGTCTTGAGCACCGAGATTGACCATGCATGACCTTTGGGTTTGTTTATTTTTGGTGGTGGCATTTGGTTTAGCACTTGATCCAGGTAAGTCATTCGTGGGATTTGGTTACCTTCCTGTGGCCATTGTTTCCTTATATGTTTGTTGGGTACTGCACTGGATAGTCCAGCTGACAGTGTAGTCAGGTGATGCTTTTGGTATTTAACAATTTATTAAGCACCACTCTGGGTCAGGAGTCAATACATACTACAAAATAGGGCAAGACTGTAAATAATAATAGATAACGACACAGCTTGTATGGAGGTTAAGACGATGAATAAGCTAGGAATTCAGCAAAGGAAACGTTTAGTGTGAGCTGGATTAGTCAAGGAAGACTTCATGAAAGGATTTTTTAAAATTTATGTCGTTGGCACTATCAGGTGGCTCAGTTGGTTAGAGCGTCATCCATACACCAAACGGTTGCAGGTTTGATCCCCAATCAGGGCACATACGGGCAGCAACTAATCAATGTTTCTCTCTCTCTCCCTTTCTCTCTCTAAAATCAATTTTAAAAAACATAATAAATTTATTTCATTGAATAAATATTAATAAACACTGTGCCAAGTACCACAATATGTACAGGAACCTTGAAAATGACTAAGCCACACAGTCCTTGGCCTCGGGGTAATAAGTATTTTTGTTCTACTGGACTCGAGTCTACTGGATTATGACAGTCATGATTTAATTTCCCATTTTCCCTGAATTGATCTTGTTTTGATGTCTCCCAACAGGATTTTCAGTTTAGAGCCCTGAAGAAGGTGAGGATCTTTGACTCCCCTGAGGAGTTGCCCAGGGAACGCTCAAGTCTGCTTGCCGTGTCCAACAAGTATGGCCTGGTCTTTGCTGGTGGAGCCAGTGGGTTGCACATTTTTCCCACTAAAAATCTTCTTATTCAAAATAAACCTGGAGACGATCCCAATAAGATAGGTAAGTCATTTGCTTTGTGTTGCATAGTAGGGAGGAGTGTAGTGAAGTACTAATATAGTTGCCTTCCCAAGAGCCATTCTAATATTAAAATGAAAACTGCTGTTAGTCCTCAGGTTGAGCCCAAGAATAAGTTCTAGGTTAGATGTTGGAAAACTGTCTGGTTCTCTTTGGTCCTTTGTTTTTTTTTTCTCTTGATGAGTTGTCCCTCTGAGCTGAGTCGAGAAGAACTTGACATTCTGCCCTGCGTTTGTTTTTGCTCAGCTGAAGCGGGCTTCTGGCTCTCTTGGAGAAGGTTTGCTGCATGGCTTTTTAGTTGGCACAACAGTTCCCTTCAAACAAGTGGGAATGTGTACTATTTAGAGCATTGTTGGAAAAGTATGGGTACAGGTTGGCAATATTGTGACTTACAAGAAATAACTTTTTTTAAGTTTCAAAAATAATTTATATATATATATTTGGTCTTCCTCCACAATTTCTGGCTCCCAGGTCCCACAGCTCTTGGAATTTCCTAAGTGTTGAGGGGGGGGGGGGGTGGTTGTTATGTTAGTGGCATAATTTTGGAAAGCACCTAAAGATGGGGGTTGGTTGTCAGTTAAACCAACCTTGTGATTAGAGGACTGGAACTTCTGATATGTCCCCCTCCCGCTACTCCCTCCCCTGATCAGGCTGAATTAATCACCAACGGCCAGTGATTTGATATCCTGCCGATGTCATGAAACCCTCATAAAAACCCAGGAGGATGGTTTGGAGAGTTTCTGAGTTGGTGACCATGTGGAGAAGCAGGGGAGAGCTGCAAGCGTGGGGAGGGCATGGAGCTCCACACCTTCCCATCGACCTTGCCTATGTCGCTCTCCCATCTGGCTGTTCCTGAGTTACATCCTTTTGTAATAGACCACTGACCTAGTCAGTAACATACAGTATTTCTCTGAGTTCTTTGAACGATTTTAGCAAATTATTTAAACCCACAGAAGAGGTTCTGGAACCTCTGATTTATAGCCAGTCGGTCAGAGTGAAGGTAACAACCTGGACTTGCAGTTGGCATTCTGAGTTGGAGGGGGTTGTTGAAACCTTCAATCTGTAGCCAGCTGGTCCGCAGCACAGAGACACTGGGCTTGTGGCTAGGCTTGAAGTGTGTGTAGAGGGGGGACAGTCTTGTAGGACTGAACTCTGAACCTGGAATCTGATACTGTTTCTGGGTAGATGATGTCAGAATTGAGTTGAATTCTCAGACACCTGAGAACTGTTTGTTAGTGTGGGGGCACCCCCCACCCCGGCATGGTAGAATGGGGTCCAGGAACCCAATTTAAGAACACTGTTTTCAACAAGGGCGACAGCCACAGTTCATTTCCCCAGGTTGTATACAGAAGAATTCCTGGAATACTTCATGCATCATTACAAATCTGTAAGAAAGCTGAGGCTTGTCTGCGTGACTAGGTACCAGGGCATGTGCATGGGTATGAACATTCCATTTCCTGCTTTGTCTTTTTTTGTTGTTATAGTTGATAAAGTACAAGGCTTGCTAGTTCCTATGAAATTCCCCATACATCACCTGGCCCTGAGCTGTGATAACCTCACACTGTCTGCGTGCATGATGTCCAGTGAATACGGTTCCATTATCGCTTTTTTTGATGTTCGCACATTCTCAAATGAGGTAAGCTACGGGCAGACTCCGGTGTCAAACTGGACCTAAGGTTTCCTGGTATTGAATCATAGCCTAGAGGTTCTCAGTTGACCCTTGAAGTCTTTTCTAGTTTAAATATGGATTTTTTTAAAGTCCTTAATTATAGAACCATAGGTGTTTGAAGTAGAAAGGACTTCAAGAAATTATTTCATAATAGCACCTGCCCCAAATTATTTCATATTTTGTTTACATATGAGGCAGCGGAAGCCTAGGGGGCTCTAGGAGCTTTAGGTCACTTGCCCAAGACCATAGTGTTAATGGGTAATGTCGGAGTAACACAGGCTGGGTCTCTGGCCTCCTAGTGCAGTGTTCTTCCATTCCCAGCAGTGTAGTGATGATAGCAGTCAACGGTAGGGAGTGCTTGTGCTGGCTGTGCCAGGCCCGTACTGGTGCTTTACATGCCTTATCCTTGTTTGTGCCTACCAGGGCCGGGCACAGTAGGTACTGCTGTCTTCACTTTATCGATGGAGAAACAGCCCAGAGAGTTTAAGTAACTGTCCAAGGGCCCAATGCTGTTACGAAGCAGAGCCCAGATTTTAATCTAGTGTCTGCTCTTTTTCGATTATTTTGCATTCGTGTATCCCCTGCTGGGAGTCCCTCCAGTGTGCTAAAATAATTGATTGCCATTTTCAACGTTGTGTTGACATTGTAACAAAGCGGTTGTTGTATAGAGCTAATTATTTTTCATTATCGAGAAGCGCAAACTGTAATTGGAGAAAACTTACATATTCAAAAATTTTCTCCAACTCTTAAACATCCATGCATTTATTAATTTATTTTTGCTCCGGGCATTTGTTTTCAAAGGCCAAACAGCAGAAACGCCCATTTGCCTATCATAAACTTTTGAAAGATGCAGGAGGCATGGTGATCGACATGAAGTGGAACCCCACTGTGCCCTCCATGGTGGCAGTGTGTCTGGCCGATGGCAGCATCGCTGTCCTACAAGTCACAGAAACGGTGAAAGTGTGCGGGACACTTCCTTCCGCGGTAGCAGTAACGTCTGGTGGGTGATGAAGGCTTTCACTAACTCACAGTAATGCTGATGTTTTAAAGTTAATTGCTGGAATTGAAAGCAAATGCATCTTTTGTTATATTTGTTATTATTTGGTAGAAGTGGAGACAGTGTTCTTTATTTCCACAGTTAATCTCCTTGAAGCCAAACAGCGTCCATGATTTCACTTGAATGTGCTTGGGTTTTCTGGAGAAGAAGATGTTTTGGTACAGCTGGTTTAGAACTGTGTTTTTGAGAGTAATTGTTTTTGGATCTGAAATAGTTGTACTATGAATGTCATTTGTACCTTTGAGGGGGTGGGGGGAAAGCATCAGAAATATCAAATAGGAGCAAGACAACGATTTCTTGATGTTCGGAAACCTGCGGTCCCTTGTCTTAGCTAAAGACTGCAGTTTTGTGTGCTTCCCAGCTCTCTGGGCAGTACTCCATTGAAAAAGCATTCTTATCAGTCGATTCGGTGGCCCAGCGATAAATCATAATTGTATCGTCATAGTGATTTTTCTTTTTCTTACTTTGCCGAGTGAGGGTGATCCTACAGTCTCCCATGGACTGAGAGAACAAGCGCTAGTGATTGTGTGCTGTTCGGTACAGACCTCGCTGGTTTGCTGCGTTTTCTTCCGTTTTAACTGGTGGCATTCTCTTTGCTCAGTGTGCTGGAGCCCCAAAGGAAAGCAGCTGGCCGTGGGGAAGCAGAACGGCACTGTGGTCCAGTACCTCCCTGTGAGTCTTGCCTTGGATTTCCAAACCGTCCTTACGGAAGCTACCCCCTGGTTGGAGGGTGGTTTGGGGGTGTCTGGTGTTTTTCCTATTGAAACGTACTGATGCTCATGGCAACATAGTTGTCAGTACACAGGTGAATGCAGGAGAGAGAGGCTGTCCCTTCCCTTCCATCC